TCTCCTCCTCTTTCCTCGTCCAAAACCCATCCTACCGCTTCCTGCCAGCTTCCCTTTCCTGAATTCCATCTTCTACATTCTTCCCATATATGCTCCCACGTTTCCTCCTTATTCCCACACAACCTACACTTCTTTTTCTCCTCCGCTTCCCAGTATCTGCTCTCTCCTATCTCGTTCCCTAATCTGAATCTCGCCACCCTTCCCCATCTACTTTCTCCCCATCCCTTCTTCAAATATCCCGGGATTCCCTCTCCCTTTGTCCACTTATACCACTTATTATACTCTGATATCTCGATCCTCTCCCATCTCTCTTTTCTCTGCTTCTCCCTATCCTCTTTAAACAATTTAAGAAACCATTCGTCTCCATCTCCTCTTATCTTTTCCACCTCTTTTAACCCCACACCTCTGTCTTCGAAGAACTTTCCTCTCTCTCTTTCCCAATCTGAGCCAGCTTTCCCTTCCATCTCTCATTCCTTCAACTCTTCCCAGGCAGACCTCGCCAGTTCACTTCCTCCACCCTCCTCTAACTTTTTCTCAAATCTCCATGCCCTCATTCCTGCTCTCCCTCTTAATTTCTCCCTTTGTAATTCCTCCCTCATTAGATACCACGGTGTTCTCACGTCCGCTCCCAATACCCATCTAATGTACCTTTCTTCCATTCTTTCTATTCCTTCCCTTTCTCTCCATCCCCATATTTCCGCTCCATAACTCAACACCGTCCACACCAGTCTATCGAACAGCCACAGTCTTTTTCCCCAGTCTTTCCCGAATCTCCTCTTCCCTATCCCCCAGACTTTTCCCATCACTGTGGCCGTCTTTTTGATCCTTTCCCTTATTTGGGCTTCCTGCCCTCCATTTCTTTGAAACACGTATCCTAAATACCGAAATTCCTTCACCTCTTCTAACTCTTTTCCTTCCCATCTCCACTTTCTCTTACTGTCCCTGCCTCCTCCTTTCCTAAACCTCATTATTTTTGTTTTCCCCACGTTCAATTCCAATCTCTTCCTGCCCAGGTACCCCTCTAGTCTTTCTATCAGACTCCTCATTTGGTCCTCGTCCTCTGCGATTAGCACTATATCATCCGCGTAGGCCAGAGTATACACCCTCTTGCCTCCTAGCATTATCCCTCCCCATTTAACTCTACCCATTTCCTCTTTCAGGTCCGCTAGCAACACATTGAATAGAATCGTGCTCAAAGGGCATCCCTGTCTTACTCCCCTCCCCGTCCAGAATACTTCTCCCAATTCGTTTCCTCCTCTTACCCTACTCTTCGTCTCTCTTAACATCTCTTCCGTCCTTCTCACCAGTCCTTCCCTTATTCCCCTTTCTCTCATAGCTTTTATTAGTATTCCTCTATCCACCGAATCGAACGCCGCCTTAAGGTCCACAAAACATGCTATCAGTTTTCCCCCTTTCTTCTCTAACCTTCTGTTCACCATGTAGTTCAACACGTAAATGTTGTCTATCGTTCCCATTCCCCTTCTAAAACCTGTCTGGTTGTGCGGTACCATTCTCTTTCCCTCTATCTCCTCCCTTAGCCTCTCCGCCAGAATAGCCGTGTACACCTTATACAAAGAAGGCATTATTGTCACCCCTCTATATTCCTCTGCCCTCTTTCCTTCCCCTTTCTTTACGATTGGCGCAATTATACCTTCCTTCCAAATTTCCGGCCATCCTCCCCCCTTCCATATCTTATTGATAAATTTCCATGCCCAAACCTCCAAACCCTTCCCCCCTCGCTTCCAGGCCTCTCCTGGAATCTCATCCTTTCCCATTGCCTTTCCGTCCTTTAGTTTCTTTATAACTCTCCTCATTTCCTCTAGACTTATCTCCTCTTCCTCCTCTCCTTCCTTTTCTTCCCTCTCTCCTTCCTTCCCCATCCTCACCCTCCCCTCTACTCCTCCTAATAATTTCATAAAGTGCTCTTTCCATTCTTCCTCTTCTATTCCTTCCTCTATTCTCCTCCTTTTCCTTCTCTCCCTATTCACAATCTCCCATACCTCCGCCTCCCTCCTTGCCCCCTCCACTTTTCTCTCCCATCTCTGGTTCTCCTCTTTCTTCTTTCTCTTACATATCTCCTTAAATTCTTTCCTCCTTTCCTTGTACGCACTGGCTTCCCCTCTTTTCTTCCTCCAGTCCCTTAATTTTCTCCTTGTCTCTTTCTTCGCTTCTCGACATTCCTCATCCCACCATCCCACCTTCCCTTTCTTATTTCCCAGCTCCTCCTCTACCCCTTTTATTGCCTCTGTTATTCTTGTTTCCATTTCTTCCCATTCCTTATTCAACTCTTCTTCCTTTTCTTCCACCTCTCCTATTTTTTCTATAAACCTCTTTGCTCCTTCCTCGTTCCACACCCCCCTGTTTCTTTTCTTCCACCCTCCTCTCCTGCCTTCCTCCTCTTTCCCCCTTCTTACTACTATTTCCAATGGGTGATGGTCCGAGTCTACTCTCTCCCCCACTACCATGCTCACTATCTTCTCTCTTACTTCTCCTTCCCCTATTATGTAGTCGATCACCGTATCTCCTTTTCCCCCCGTGAAGGTAAACTCCCCCTCCTCGTCTCCTCTCACATTTCCATTGAATATCTCCCATCCTCTCTCCTCTAAGCTATTTACCAACAGTCTCCCCTCTCTGTCCACCTTCTTGTCCTTCGACCTTCTTCCTTCTCCCAGTCCTCCTCCCTCCTCTTCCTCTATCCTCCCACCTTTTTGACCAGTCCTCGCATTAAAATCTCCCCCAATTATCGTATACCTTCCTTCTTCTTTCTTTTCCATTCTATCTCCTAACTCCTGTACGTTCTCCTCCATCCCCTCTTTCTTTGCATACACCCCTATAATACTCCAGTTCTCGCCACCTGTTCTGACCTTTCCCGCAATCCAACCCTCCCTATCTACTTCTATTGCCGTTCCCTTTTCTTTTAATCCTTTCCTTATTCCCATTATCATCCCTCCTATTGCTCTTCCTTTTTTATTCTTTTTCCTCGCCATTTGCACCCCCCACTCGTACCCTTTTGGAAGTCTCCCCCTTATTCTTTCCCAGCCCTTTTCTCCTACCCAGGTCTCTAACATGACTAACACATCTTCTTTCTTCAGCCCTTCCC